CCGTCGGTGTGTCTGTCCATATTTCCATGGTAACCAGTTATATATTATTTTGTAAATTTCGATGGAATGTTTTGTATATAAATACAAATAGAGTTGGCAATTTTAATGGGCAACGAAGTGCACGGGATCAGATATTTCTATATATATATATAGATAGATTAGACCTCTGGGTAGAAGATAGGCTAATATAAAAATTGAGAGGACCAACCACGGTAGGTGCTCAAACAGGGATTTTGTTATTTCCTATTATGGACATTTTTGTTTATAAATGGTTACCATGGGTTTTGAAGCTATTATAATAATATTTATTGGTTGCCGGGTAACGAAGTACATGGGATCATTTGTAACAGAGATAGGTTAGCTCTCTGGGCAAAAGATAGGCTAATTTAAAAGGGGAGAAGACCAACTACCGGGACGTGCTCAAACAGGGATTTTGAGATTTCCGATGGAAATGTTTGTTTATAAATGGTTGCCGTGGGTTTCAAAGCTATAATAATAATAATTATTGGTTTAAAATTGTTGTTATGGTAACCGTTATATTATAAGAAAAACATATTATTTATAAAATAGCGTTGGTATTTTTAACGGGCAACGAAGTGTACGGGATCAGCTAGTAATATATAATTATTAAATATTATATTGTTTCAATATATATAATCTTATACAGATATTGAAAGTGAAACAATATACCTAGTATTTTAAATTTTATATTTATAACCTCCATCCCATCATGAAGTGATAATAATGAATAGCTTCTTCATCAAGCCAACCATGACCAATGACTATGACAAAAAAAAAAAAATAAAATATTTAATCTAAGTGCCACTGCAATTTTTTTTTTCATTACCCAAGCCTTAACCTTATCCATCTTATAATTTATATTAATAGTAAAAATGTTATGGCTAATCACTATCTGGAGTGTACAATTTAAAAAAGTTCTAAATTAATAAATAAAGTATTATTATAATGCTATATAACTGTAGAAATAATATATTTATTATTTGTTAATTATAAATAATTAAATTACAGAATTTGATGGAGATGATTCAGATGTGGACAAATCATATAACCCAAAAATGTAAAATAAATTATTTGAAGTGTCGTTATCGCCACCAAATAATTATGAAAGTAAATCAGATGGTTATTCAACTCCAATTAGTTCTCAAAGGTAACAGTTATACCATAATATTTTTAATTTTACTAATTGTAATAATTGTATTATTACTTCATAGTGGCTATCTGTTAATATGTATAATAGGTTGGTAATAGGCATAGATATATAAAACAACTAGATAGCCGACTCTGTGATAAAGTCTCATAAGACCTATGAAGCCTGGCAGCCATATGCGAACAGGGCAAAATACGATTGATTAATCCATGAAATATTTAATTACTCCATGATTTTTTAAAAACTGCGAAAATTTGATTTCTGAATCAGTCCGATTAAGAGGACGTTGCACGGATATTTGTTTTTTTCCGACTTACAAGTGCGTACATCGCACATTTTATGCTCAGCCGATCACTGATTAAGTAGTTTTTGAGTTTATCCATTATACACAAACAAATCTTTTCTCTTTATAATAATAAAATAATGAATAATTTCAATTCACGGAATACCATAAGGTACTGTATTGGGTCCTCTTTTTCATTGTGTTTATTAATGACTTATTGAGTATTAATTGTAATGAATCAATTTTCAGTTTTACTGATGACACGTCAATTATTATGGATGACATAAAGAAAAATAGTATTCATAATAAATCTACTCGTGTATTAAGTATTGTCAAAATATGATTTGACAATAACCTCCTGGAACTTAATTTAACCTAAACTTGCTTTATAAACCTTAGTATAAATAAATCTTCACCCATTGGTTATAAATTTATAATTATCTCAAGCCTCATCAAAAAAACTGTAATGAATTTAATATAAATACAGTGATTTCTATTAGTAATGACAGTAGATGTAATTGCACTACTATATTTTATCTAGTTCAAAAAGTAAAATATCTAGTTATTACTATAGCTGATGCTAACTTAAAATGACAAAATCATATTATTAATACAACTAGAAAGATCAGATTATTATTCTATAAATTTAAAATTCTTATCAACATACTTCCACCCACCACAATGAGACCTACTTATAATTTATATAAGTATAAATACTATAATATTATAAAGCATAGGTGTTCTACACTTAATCAACACAACAATAGTTAACAATTAGTATATATTTCTTCATTACACTTTTATGAATACAATTATTTTATTGGTTGGAGAATAATATTAATTTGGATAATTTATGTCTCTTACTGACAGGGTTCAAAATATCTGTTGAATACATTTTTCCAAATTTATGGTTTTAAACTTGTAAATTGTAATTTCAAATTTGTAACGAAGTAGCAATCATAATTTAATCATACCATATATTATCATGTTTCAATCATATATAAATTATATTTCATGGAAAATTATACAATGTCATGGATTAATCAATCGTATTTTGCCCTGTTCGCATATGGATGCCAGACTTCAATTTTTGGCGTTGAGTCGGCTATCTAGTTGTTTTATATATCTACTAGCTCTAAGTATAACTCGGGGCCCGTTGGAATCGCTGAGAGTGGGTACCGATTTTGGAGACAATGAATTATAAAAGTCGCAAAGGTTGTAACTTGTAAGACGAAAGTTTAGGATTTGTGATAAGGATTAGTGATATGGATTGGAGATAAGGCTAGACGCTTTGGCGGGAATGTTAAAAGTTTGAGTGTCTAGCAATCCGTCACAAACGTTGTAAATGGATAGGCTGGATACGATCTCCAGGATCACCTATAATATAGAGTATACCTGCACATAGAGTGGTATGTGCCGTAGCATGACCGGTGCTTTATCTTATGTAAAAAGTGTAAAGTCGAAAACCGTGTTGGAGTTTCTAGCAAGTCAGTCATCTCAAGTCAAAATCTATTAACTTTCAAGTTAGCCACTTAGGTAGGCAATCCGACTTCGTCGGATCGCGGACTATATGTGCTACAGCAAATCAGGTAGGCAATCCACCTGCGGTGGATTGCAGACCCGACATCAAGCGGCTATAAGTGAAAACCCTATCACACAACTTACGAAATAATTTACGAAAAATTCAAACTATATACATACAAACAAATATGATATGTATTTGTTGTGTGATATAATATAACAATGAACATTTTGAGAAATGTGCAATTATAATTCCTAAAAAATATTAACATATAGGTAGATAGTTAGATACATACTATTATATTAACCAATACATATAAACATGTACCTATAGTGTATATATATTAATTTAAAAAAAAATTGCAAAAACCTGCATGTTATTTGTTAAAGTGTCTATCAAGTCAATCATCACCGTTTAAGACGAAACTAAAATGAGCAATCCGTATATCACCTATATATAGTAGGTATATCACATAGAGTGGTATGTGCCTTCGCATGTCCGGTGCCTTTTCTTATGTAAAAAGTGTAAAGTCAAAAACCGTGTTGGAGTGTCTAGCAAGTCAGTCATCTCAACTCTCAAGTCAAAACCAAGATTAACTTTCAAGGCAAACCGAAATAAAATACAAACTATATATTTATATAACAATCATGGAAATTTTAAAAAATATGCAATTTTAATAATTCCTAATAAAACAAATATAATATGTACCTATTTATTGTGTGATATAAAATGATAATAATGTACGATATGTTCCTGTATTATTATATTATTATTATTATTTAATTTATATGAAAAATAACGTGAAAAAAAAATGCAAAAAAAGTCGGGATTTGGGCGGCCGTGTAAACCATATGGCATTAACGGTTTCAATGCCTGGACGGCGTACGACGGATTTGAACCCGGGACCTACGTGTTTCCTGCCTAACGCCTAACCTACTCGGACACAGTTTGAGATATGAAAGACAGTGAAAACATCAACAATTAAGCCGTGCGACTACGGAGCGACGTAAACCGATATATTCGATGTACATCGATGTAATCGCATATAATTCGCTTGTAATACGCGCATCTCCCATATATATATTTAACGGGGCGTGTGAAAAGCGTTTTCCGTTAATAATTATTAAATCATAAGGAAAAATTAAATTATACACGTATATACATGTATATATACGCGTACGGCTGGTCGGTCGCCGGCGTAATTTCCAAACGCGATTGCGAGGCGAACGAACCGATTTTGGGGGAAAAGCGCATATAAACGGCTTCAAAAAGACTCGATTCGGACACAAACGGGTGCGATTGTGCGAATAGACGAAACGGAGGGAGAAAAGGAAAAAAATCGGCAAAAAAGTCCGGTCGGGAGTGTATTTATTGATCGACATTGCACGAATATAAACCGCACACCGGTTACTTCGAATTAAGTATATAAAAGGGCGAAAAGATATCGTGTAAAAACAGCTAATTTTCCGAAAATCGGCGAAATGATAGGAAAAGAGGTGATAACGAAAAACGTTTTAAAACCGACCGCCGCCACTGCGAAGGTACGCGATTGGTCGCGCTATAAGGAATCGACGGGACATGGCCGGCGGGCTGGGGAAACGGAGCGGTGCTTCATTTTTTACTCCACGGTTTCACTCTAACTGCGTTTTCCGTTCCACGGGTTGCTTGTATTATCAGTCAGCTGTTCTTCATTTTATAGTATTAGATGGTAATAGGTAAGTGAGTTTGCTGATGATATCATAGCGCAGCTACTGCTGCTATCTGTGCGCTTCCATTTATTTATTCTCTTTGGGTCGAGCCATGATAAAGATTTTCATAAGTTCATTTTATCATGGTCCGAGTGGATGTTTATCTGTCTGTGGAGTGGACAGAGTTGGACCACGATTCAAGAATTACGGCCATTCAAAGTTAATCCTCTGTGAAGACGCCTTTAGACTTAATTTGTTTAATTTTCGTCTTTACCGTCAGATAGTCACTGCCTTACTTATTGACCATACATTAATTATAGTAGTCGGTCACAAACAAACATGGCTAAATTTGATTTGACGAGTAAGATGACCAAATACCTGGACCGGCATTTGGTCGCCCCGCTGCTGGAGTTCTTGTGGGCGAAAAAGGTAAGAGTTTTTCAATTATCCCTTCTCGAACTGGTGGGAAACGTTTTTGTTACGGTTCATAGAAGAATTGCGTTTTGGTGAATTTTTGGCCGTGGACACCAAATTGCACTGTATGAGTGTGTATGATCTCTGCCAAACAGCAATTGTTGTAAAATGTTTGACTGACTACAAAACATTTATTTAGATTTACAATGAGAATGAAATTTTGCAAGCCAAATTGGACATTCTTAATAAGACAAACATGATGGATTATGTAATTGAGATTTACAAACAGTTGAATCCTGAAAAAGAAGTACCAGAGGTATGTACCCACTTAAATTACTGTAGAACTACCTACAACCTACAATGTTTTTTATTTTATCGGTACATTATGATATTAGGAAATGAAAACAAGAAGAGATCAAATTGTATCGCAGCTCAATCAATTTCAAAGTGAAGTTGATGTTGTGATGAATTTCCTCAAAGATGATAAAGTCATGAAAAATATGGAAACTATGAGGGATCCTAAAACATTGTCTACCTATTTAACCAATGAATTCAACGTAAGTGTTATTCCTATTCTAGAATAATAATTATTGATTTTATTTTCAATTCAAATTCTTGGAAACTTAAACTGTTGTGGTTTTAGATTCTATTTAAACTAAGGGTTTTTTTTAATTTCTTTTATTAAGAAGTTCCTATAAAGTACTATTAAATTAATAAACAATTAATTTGAATATATTAAAATTATTTCTGAAAATAATATAATGTGTTATAAAATATGAATCGAAAGAACTAATTAACTAAATAGATATCAATGTGCTTACCTAACCTTTTTAATATAAAAATAATTATAATTTGCTTGAAGTTAAATCTTAAATTTGTGTACATTGCTGAATAATATATATTATGTCATTTTAATGGAACTTCCTGGCCATCGTTACTGTCTTAAAATCAGAATATTGGTGCCAAGAGTCAAGACTACCTTATATATTTTATGTTATTGTGACTACCATAATATAAAATGCACAACAATTTCTGAAAGCGGAAAGTGAGGAGGATGTTCTTTATGTTTCTCCCTCACACCTCCCAGAGTTTTCTAATATCAATTAAACTAACTGATTATAATAATATACTGCTAATTACCAGGAGGTTCTTTAAAATATGGGACTTACATTTATATAAGTTTTAACGTCAATAGAAAACATTTTTAGTTTAGTATGCTTATTAGTACAGAACATTTTATGGATTATTTGAAATTATAATCATGGTATAAAACTATAAAGTCTCTTAGTATGAAATAAATAGTAATTAAACTATCTAATTTTTTGTTAATTTAGTTTAAAGTAGAAATGATGGAAAGTATGTACAAATTTGCCAAGTACCATTATGATTGTGGAAATTATGCTGGTACAACAAGTCATTTGTACTTTTATTTATTAGTTATGTCGCCTACTGACAAGGTAAATTCATGAATGTGTAAAATTCTTATTGAGTTTCTTGTATTATATTTATAATATATGAAATATTGTTTAGAATTACTTGAATGTTCTTTGGGGAAAATTAGCATCTGAAATTCTTATTCAAAACTGGGAAACTGCTCTTGAAGATTTAAACAAACTGCGAGAGTACATTGATTCCAATACAAATGGTTCTCCATTGCATTTGCTACAACAACGAACGTGGTTAATTCACTGGAGTCTATTTGTGTTTTTCAATCATGTTAAGGGACGTGACCTTATTATTGACATGTTTCTGTACAGGCCTAAGTAATATATTATGAATATTAGTAATAATAACAAATTATGATGTTATATATAAAATTATAAGCAAATTATTTTGTTATCAGCTATTTAAATGCTATTCAAACCATGTGTCCACACATTCTTCGCTACTTGGCCACTGCAGTAATCATCAATCGTTCAAGAAGAGCAGCCATGAAGGATCTTGTTAAGGTTATTCAACAGGTGAGTTTAATAACATTTAGATGAATTATATTACTATTAATTTTATATATTTATTAATACTAATACTGTATTCAGGAATCTTATACCTACCGTGACCCTATAACTGAACTTCTAGAAAATCTCTACGTTAATTTTGATTTTGAAGGAGCCAGGGACAAATTACATGAATGCCAAATTGTCCTTTTTAATGACTTCTTCTTGACTGCATGCCTTGATGATTTTGTAGAAAATGCTCGTTTGATGATTTTTGAAACTTTTTGTCGTATTCATCAGTGTATTAGTATTGGGTATGTATACTCTGTATTTATAACTTCATAACATTTAAATCCTTTATTTATTATTTAGAATGTTGGCTGAAAAGCTTAATATGAACCCAGAAGAGGCTGAGTGTTGGATTGTGAACCTCATCAGGAATGCCAGGTTAGATGCAAAAATTGACTCAAAACTTGGACATGTCGTTATGGGAACACAACCTTTATCGCCTTACCAACAGCTTTTAGAGAAAATAGATACATTGTCAGTGCGATCAGAAGCATTACAACAACTCATCGAAAGAAAAGTCAAAGCTAAAACTCAAGAAGTAAGTTAAATGTCATTAATTTTCCTTAGTTATGTTTTTTCATAAAAATATTATATTTTGCAGCAAGATCCACTTTGGTACAATCCTTGAAAAGCTGTTGACAATGATAAGTTATGAAGAAGTGATATTTTTCCATAAAACAAGAATAATATTATTCATGAAATGTTATTTTATTTATTTATTTTTAATAATTAAATTAACATTGAATTCATTTTCTGAAGTTTTTTGGAATCTTGAAAATCCTCAAATTAATTAGATCCCATGATAATTGTACCTTAGCTGAGATTTTCCTAGGATTATGTTTACCCTCGGTAAGATATTCCTAGGTCCTAGGACCTATTAGGCGCAACGTTTCGGGGAGGGCATACGGGTCATGCCTTCTAGACATCATAAACTACCTACAACCCAACTTTAAATGTTCATAAAAATGTAATTTGACATTCCGATAAACACTCGTTTGTTGTTAAAAGTAGGCTTATGAGGACTTTTGTATTAAATTTTCAAATCTTAGAGATAAAACAACATTTTTTCATGAAATTTTAATAAGAAAGTAAATTTTCTTAATTTTGATGAATTTTGTTAAAATTCTAATTTTTAGACAATCATATAAAAATATTGTAGATTTACGCTCAGATTTTTTTTTTATTTCCACTTACAAAAACTTATAAGGAATCTTGATTACATTTTCATGTTTTTTGTTGGATAAAATTTTTTTCATTGACATTAGTTAAAAAAAAACTAATAAAATCTGAAAATGTTATACGTCTATATAGCTCAAAAGGAATCACAATATTTCAAAAATTGTATGGTATGTAGAAACTGCTAATATTCTGTGAAAATGTCATGCATCTAATGTTTTTTTTTATAATTACAATAAAAAGCAACATTGATTTTTAGGTGTACCTATTGAAAATGTTAATAAAACATTCAGTGAAAATTTCATGTATCTATAGACCTACAGTAGTTTTGTTTAGAGTTACACAAATATTTTGCGTAATAATTCCTGTTATTACACAGACATTTGTTGTCTCCGGCTTACAAGTGCGTAACATAGCAAATTTTACGCTCTCAGAAGATGTGTATAGCTTCGTTGGTTTAAAATTTAGAGTGAATCGATCTCTTATAAAATTTAAAAGCAATATTATTATCCAAGGCATCTCATAGCCTTTTTATTATATTTTAATTTTAAAGCGAGCTAATGGCATTATAAAGTTGTAAATTGTTTGTACTTCTTAAAACTTATACACTTGTAAGACGGAGGCAACAAATGTCCGTGTAACATCCTCTTCACTTTTTATTTTTGTATTTCTCGCCGATTTTGAAAATTATTGGGAATTTTGACTTGAATGCACCAGCTAGATTCACTTTCACGCCAGAAAAGATACTGAAATTGAAAATCAGAGCATTATTTCGACTACTTAACTTGTAGGTACACAGACGAGAGAAAAAACGAAGTATCGCTACACCGTTAACTCATACTTTAATGTGGTCAAAACAAATATATTTAGTTGAGATTTGTAACTAAAAAATTACATCAGAAAAAAAGTCTGCAAAAACCAGTATGAATAATCGGAAAAAAATGATTTAAATAATATATAGGTATAAGTTATTAAATTAAAATAAAATTGTTTAATTAAAATTAGTTCATAAAATATTATTAAAAAAAAAATTTCATTATTAAAGTGTTTTTTTATCAAGTACTTAATATGTTTTAATCGCTCTGTATAGATAGGTACTCAAATCGCCAAATGTACTTATTGGAGACTTATTAGTTTATTCACAATGATATCTCAATCAGAAGTATTTGGGTATTTCCATATAAAACTAACAAGTAACATTAGACATACCTACGATATCCCACTAATGGACACTGTACTTGTAGTCAACCGCGTGTCATAGGCCATAGCAGTGTTAACAGTAACAGTTATATAATAATGGATAGTGTAAAATTAATAAAAAATTAAAATTATATTTATAGTGGATTTGCATATACAATCCAGTATAAAATGGAAATGTTCCCAGAAGTCACCAAATAGTTTTCTGGTACAGTTTTTAACTACCCACAGAGGTAAATATATATATATATTTTAGATTCTGAGTGAAACGATGAATGTATTGATTTTACAATGATGTGTTTTTTTTATTTTTTTTTGTGTCTGTCATCACGTTATAGGACAGTAAAAAAGCTTGGATTTTCTTCAATAGTATTTTTTCTGATAGGAAAGTGAATCTAGTTGGTACTTTGGGGGATTAAAAGTAAAAATTTCGCAGTAGTTTTCACAAGCGCGGGGAAAAACAACATAAAAATTAAAGAAAAAAAGGAATTTTTACGCAAAATCGATTTTGGTTTTTGGTGTAACTCTAAAAAAAATGAACGTATATACATGAAATTTTCACTGGTTGTTTATATTTGCATTTTCTATACACGATAACATTTTCAAAATATTTTGATTTATTTTGAACTGTTTAGGGACATTTTCCATTTTTTTTAGTTTTTTTTCTAAAAATATCAATTAAATGTTATATTTTGTTGGTTGCGAAAGATTGAAAAATTAATAGAAGGCTCCTAGTATATTGTTTCAAAGGCAGATGAAAAATATGAAAAATCCTTAGTTACAATTTTTTTTATAAGCATTTAAATTTCAAAAATTGACAAAATATGGAAAAATCACGAAAATCAGAAAATTATTTTGAGTTAAGAATAACTAAAAATTTTTCTTTTTAAATCTAAGATTTTAAAATGTAATACATATTCCTTATAAGATTATCAACCTTTATCAAAAAAAAAATGTCTATAAGAAAGTCAAATTAAATTTTTATGAGCATTTGAAATTCAAATTTTTACAACATTTGGTATTCTCTCGATTTCTCATGTAGCGATTTCCTTATTTTGTTGTAATTCAAAAACGAATAACTGTAGATACATGAAAATTTCACTGAATGTTTATATTAGCATTTCCTATACACCATACAATTTTGAAAATCTTTTGACTCTTTTTCAGCTGTTTACGGACATTTCCAGCTTTCAATTTTTTTTAGTTTTTTTTTCTATAAATATCAATAAAGTTTTATCTGTTGGGCCAAAAGTGTAAAAATTGAATACAAGGCTCCTGATATATTGTTACAATAGCAGTTGAAAAATATTAAAAATACATAGGCACAGTTTTTTTTTATAAGCATTTAAAGATCGAATTTTGACAATTTTCTCGAAAATTATCAATCATTGTAATTAATAAATTATAAAATGTTCAGTTTTTATAGCTAAGGATTGCAAATTCAACACAAAGGTTCTCATAAATAGTTCATACTGTAACCAAAAAATCTAAAAAAATATATGAACACAGTTATTTTTACAGACATTTTAAATTCAAATTTGGACGAAATTACATATTAAAAAACCTAGAATACCTATTTTAGTTATTTTGTTTTGAGTGTATAATACTATTCGTGGGTACTTGAAACTTCTTAAGTACACTATTATATATCTATGATAGTATCAGGGTTTGTTGTTTATGTAAAACGCGTTATAAGTACCTAATGGATATTGTGATATGATTAATTTGGAATTTATTATAGGTACCTACCTATTATAGGTCAATTTTTTTTTAATACCATAGATAAGTATATAATATGTCTTTTACCTAGACTGACATATCGTCTCCGCTCACAATTGTTTTTCTTATACAATTATATTATATCATTGAATTCAAATTTAATACTATCCATTATACAGTAACCCACTTGTAACCTACTGTACAGCAGAGCACCTTTTTTAATTTGGCTTTATTTTTACAAATTACAATCTATAAAATTTGTACAATAAGTAATACTTAGGTTTACAAACAGATAACGGGTTATATACACACGAGGAGGAAATCACATTTCTGACACCTCTTGGCTCTTGTTATATATTTATAATGACATTTTGTTATTTATGTACGTAAAAATATATTTACATTTACAGATTTAAAGAATCCAAGATTAGATGTAGCGCATTCTCGGGCTGGTGATCTACACATTGGCATTGTTGAAAAAGCATAGAAATAAATTAATCATAAATAATTTGAATATCCAATAATATATAATATATTTTTTTTTTTACTGAACAAAAATTTTATTTACAATCTATAATTAGGTATAAATATTGCAATATGTAAATGTGATGGGGATGATTAACGGGAGGGGGAAGTCACCCAATGGTGGTACCCCGAGAATACATAATATAAAATATAAAAATAATCTCATTGTTTATAATTTTGGACAAAAAATAAACAAAACAAAAAAAGCGGGGAAGTGGATGTCGCTCTGCTGTACAGTAGGTCACAAGTGGGTGATTGTATAATGGATTGTATTAAACTTGAATTCAATAATATTCTATCATTGTTTAAGAAAAACGATTCTGATTTGAGATGGTTTGTCAGTCTAGATATTTTATATTGTCATACATTATTATATCATGTAAGTTGAATTAATATTTTAATATTATTATTTTTTATTCGTTTTTATGGTAATAAACAAAGCGTTAGAAATTAAAATCCAATTTTTAGAGGTTTTTCGTAATTTTTCGGTGGTTTTTACGGCTGCAACTTATTTGCGCACATTTACCTTTTTTACAACTCATTTGCGCACAAAAACATAACTCATTTGCGCACAATTTACGAACAATAGAAACCTTTTTTCCAAAAATTTTATCCACGTATAGGGTGTACATAATCTCCGTACCACCATATTTTCGATTTGGTCAATACTGATAGTGGACAATTATTATACTCAAACAACATTTTCCTTCACCCTTTAAAAGGCTTAGGACTTTCTGTCTCATCATATTCTGATGTTATAGACTGGCGGGTTAAAAATGTTGTTTTAGCTATTACACATTATTCAAATTTTTGTCAAATTACAATAAATTAGGTACAATAATTTTTACAAGTCATTAAAATTTTGTCAAATTACAATAAATTAGGTTTAACGTTTAACAAAAATAGGGTAAGATATAGCAATAATATCAATAATAAAGATTAAAGCTTGTCCCACACACGATTATAAAGAACTTATTAATCTTCTTTATAATCGTGGTCCCACACGACTAGTGTACTTGGCGAGTATTAATGCCATTTTTGATAGATAAGAACTGATGTGAAATCACGTTATGCTTTAAGACTATATAAGGCTATATTGAAGATACTCCAATAACGGGTGATCATTGATATCAATAATATTGAACGTGTAACGTGTTGGACAGCTTAAGACACCCTGTACACCCAAAACTGCACCTAAAAGCTGGTTTCCATTGTTTACTATTTTGTGCGCAAATGAGTTGTAGTAAATTTAAAAAATATATTAATATGTGCGCAAATGAGTCTCCACCGTTTTTACAGTGGTATTAAATAACTATTGATAAAATCGAAAAATGATCTCTCTTAAGTAGGTACCTACTATCTTAATCCGATGGACAAAAAGATAAGGTACTTTGTTGAAATCGAAGCACTCCTTCTGGTAGAAATTTTGTATACAGATTAAAAAAAGAAGAAAAAAATAAACACCATTGTAAAACCACTAGCTTTCTCGCTCCGCTCAGAATCTAAAATACAAAAGGCGTGACTGTACTATAGTGTATGAGTATGAGATATCGGATAATGAAAAAGTAGCAAAAAATAATGACATTTAATAGGTACCTATCTAATATTATAATTGATATATAATATGAAAATTAAAATGATTTCTGTGTTAAATGAACAATGAATGAGTGCTTTAAAATGTTGAAATAATAATGCCGAAAAAAATTGAAATATTGTACAATGAAAGTTGCACAAAATGGCAAGAACAATGTACATAATAATCCATTACAAAAAAAGTTGCTTGATGTGACAAAAAACAAGAAGCTAATATTTTTGTTTCCTTTGCAACCGCTGCCTGCTGGAATAGAATTTCTAGGAGGAACACTCCTCTTGCTAGTCTTATGGCGGCTGAGATCTACTCTGGAACTGGAGCTCTTCTTTCCTCACCTTCAATTAATGATAATTTTTCTTGAGTTTTACACTCATTATAAAACTCAAATGGATGATTTTTTACCCTCAACAGCATTTAAAACATTCAATAAAATTAATTAAACAAATTTATAATATTCCTGTTAATTTAAATGAAATGAAATTACCTTTGAAGTTAGATTGACATGATTGGGCTGAGTGTCTCTCAAAGCTCTTACACCATGTTTTACTACTTGAACCAACAAACTTTCAACCAACTTGAACTAACCAAAAGTTATACCTTAAAGTATACCTTTAATCATGGTTTGCATGTACCTATCTATGAATTAAACATGTCAATAATTATGCTTTAATTTTTTTTTATTTCATATAGGTATGATTAGCACACTTAAGTTGAATATTCAACTTATGTGTTCAATATATACATATATATACCTGATTAAAAATGTTTTTTATATATTGGTAGATTTCAAGATTTTGATGTGCTTATTCTAATATTGTCCTAAAATCATCCTCTATACAAAAATTTGGACAATTTTCATTTCCTGTGGTAGCTGGTAAATTACTAATGAGGCAATGCTAAGACCTAAATTACAAATGTATATTTAATATTTCAATCTATTTTATTTGTATAGGTACAATAAATAGTTCATTACCATGTACATATACACAATACCAGATTGTGCTTACGCCAACAATATATCACTGCAATTGACTAGAAGAATAGTATGTATAACTTTTTTTATGCAAAACTTAAATTATTAATTATTTTTACTGTTTTAAAAATGTTCTACAGCTTATAAAGAGTAAAATAAATAATATCAAAAATATTTTCTGGCAGTAATGAAACCACAACATTGTAGTCGACTCTCTTGAAACACCTCTTGTACAGCATTCATCGACCCACTTTTATAATCTGTGATTACTGTAAGTCCATCATAATTCAATAGTTACATGATATATCTAATTACCCGAAAGAAAGTGATATATTATGCTTGTTCTGTAGCTAAAATACATAACATACCATTGGAAATGACTAGTAAGCATTATTAAAATGTTATTTACCAAATGAATAATATTTTTTATTTTTTAGTCATTAATGAACCTCTAACGGAATTGTTGTGGTGAACTTGGAGTAGTCTTAAATGTTCCGTCACAACTTACATAAGTTACAGTGCATAACTCATCATGAAACATTGCAATCATGTCTAAATTTGAGAATATTACACCAATTGTATTACCTTTAACATTAAATGGCTGTTAAAAAAAGGTAGACGATTTTTCACATAAAGTGGTTCTGTATGTTACGTGTTCTGGCATGTTTAAAAGCTGTATTAGTGCTGATAGTATATCATTAGTATAATTGTCTCAGCATTTTTGGTCGTCTACAGTTTCTCATTATCTTGCATTTACGCTGTGCCTGTTGAAATGTAAAGCCAAGACTTCCAGCAGGACTAAATTTAGCACCAAATTTGATTCTTTTCAACTTCTCAAGTATGGCATGTCAAGGTCTCTTTCAAAAGCGCGATGGTTGTGTCCTCTAGGATGAAGCCGCTTACGATTTTCTGCATCATGAATTTTAATTAAGGCTGTAGATGGACAGTATTCATTGACTTTTTTGTTTCTCTGTTTGTCACAAATTAAGTAGCTTGTTGAAAAATAAAATCAGTACTATGCATTATATTTGAATATTGTAAGTCAGTTTAATATACTTACATGTTATTTTGCACAACTTGAAAATTGTCAATATAAATATTACACCTGGTATACAACTGTAGGTCCGATTAAGTTGCATCTTTTCTAAAATAAACAATTTTTACTATTAATATAGTTAGAACATGATTAGTTTTAATAAATATTGATTACCAGCAACATAGTTACAACTTGACTCTATATCATAATTCTAAATTAATTTTCACCATCATCAGTTTTTACTAAAAATAAAATATATATTTAATAACATTTAAATAAGCAACAAACTTAATAAATTATATCACTTAAGATATAGACTTTTGCTCCATCGATCCATGGTTTATTTTGTTCAATTAAAACAATAAAAACAGTGATAAAATAATAAAAACGAGAAGTAAAATAATTACTAACAGATACTAATACTAATCGATGAGTTTAACCTGCAAACAGAAATCTCTTTTGTCAAAAAGCTCAAAAGAAACTTTGTGTGCTAGATGCATTGAATATTGGAATCTTCTATAGGTTCTTATGTTTTTTGTTGTTTGGTTTATAAATAGTATAAAATATATTATATTGAATTCGGACCATATATATGGTTTTACATTGGTACACACTATACATATTATCATAATTCAAAAAAATACTAAACATTAACATTGCCATATATTATTTTTCAGTAAATTAAATATTTTTTTTTATTTAAAAATGTTAAAATAACTTTTATTAACAAACAGAGGAGTACCTAGAATTTTTAGCATACATTGCAGATAATCTTTTAAGATCAGTTGGGAATTTGTAAGAGAATATTTTAGGAAACCTATATCGTCGTACATCGTTAATTAAGGCATTTCAAAAGTTGCATAGTATTTAAATCTTACTGAATAATTATGAAAACATAATTTATTTTATACTATTATTTAAAAATTAAAAAGGAAAATAATTAAATAAATATATTTGAATATACATAACAAGGCGGTTTTTTTGTTGGTATCGCCCTTGCGGCAAAATAGGTAAGATTTTTACTTTTCTAAGTTGGCAAAACGAATTAGAAAATTCCGCTATCACAAAACGTGATTTTGGTAAATTATTTTTACTGGAATTACGTTCAGGCGTAATGGTCACACTGCTAACTAACCTTAAATATCATACGTCCGTATCGTCGTCAAACCGAATAGAGGAGATATTTTGTTTTCTACTTATGTGTTAGTTCTTTTTCAACTCCCGTATTTTTTGAGGTAAGTGTCTGGATATTTATCCGGTTCAATCCATCATTTTATTCTTATAACCCTTACTGGAATATTAAAATTCCACTCTTATTCTCATGCCAAACGTTTATTCGTAATAATTTTCAATATTAATTAAACCTTTTTTTGTTTGACAGACCCAACCATGGGTCGATACGCTAAGGAACCGAAAAATCCAACCAAGTCCTGTAAGGCAAGGGGCTCGAATTTAAGAGTTCACTTCAAGGTATTTGAGTTAGAGAATTATTATTTTAGTTATACATATTTTGTTTGCGTCCTTACTCCGTGACGTCGCTGTAATAAAATGTTTTTTCGTTCTTTCAGAACACGAGAGAGACAGCTAAGACTATCAAAAGGATGCCTCTCCGTCGTGCCGTACAATACTTGAAGAATGTTAAAGACAAGAAGGAATGTGTACCTTTCAGGAGGTTCAATGGCGGTGTTGGTCGCTGTGCTCAAGTATGAAATAATAAACTTTTATTGTAATTCTAATGGCTTGACTTCATTTTTATTCCATAAATTTTTGCAGGCCAAACAGTGGGGTATGACTCAGGGTCGCTGGCCAGAGAAGTCTGCCGAGTTCTTGTTACAGCTTTTGAGAAATGCCGAATCCAATGCTGACATTAAAGGTTTGGATGTAGATCGTCTGTTTGTTGAACACATTCAAATAAATCGTGCTCCTTGTCTGAGGAGACGTACTTACAGAGCCCACGGTCGTATTAACCGTAAGTTATGATTTTTCCTATTAGATAAAATTGTATCATTGTTCTGAATGGTATAAGTTATTTAACATAGTAATTTGTAATATGACATCAATTTTTAATCGGCAATATATTTTCTACCATTAAGTTGAAATATTTTTCCACTGTTTTGTGAACTATCTTATATATAAAATAAAACTTACATCCCACTTTCAAGTGATCTATTCTACTGTTCTTAAAGAAAGCATGAATGGCCAGATTTGATGAAATATGATGTGATTGCATTTAATCCAAAGGAGTGACTGTTAAAATAATACAATAATAATTAAAAGACGTTATTGCTGCCACCACATAACCATTTGTTTATATTCATATATTATACTATTTAGGTATACAATCACCGACAATATAGCTACTGAAAATCGTTTGGTGGCAGTATTATACACATGTTCTGTGCATGATCCTTTGCATACAGATTTTCGTATACTATTTTTGTAGAGTAGGTACATTTTATGTCAGGCTACCTGGTATTTTAAATGAGATTGCTCATTTGAAAAATATTTAAATCAGGTTCACCAAACTACTCAAGATAATTTCTATTTCAATTTTCTACTTTTTAATAAATAAACACATCATAGAATTCCCTATAAAGATTCACACAAATAAAATATTTTTATTAAATATTGTATAAATTATAGATTAAATGCAAACACGTTGAGTTTATACAGTTATGCATTTTTTAATATTATTTATCATTGAATGACATTATTTCTGCTGTGAATAATTTATACATATAATATTATAAGTTGTGTTAAGTAGTGGTACAGTGAAAGGGTTTTTTGTTAGGACTAGATGATATATAATGGATGCAATCATAGCATATCACACCTATAGAATAAGTTGAAGCCAACATAACAACTTAAATAATTATATGCCCTATGATATCGCTAATGTTGACAAACTGTTCGTACGACTGAATTGTATATGATCTAAGATTAGGATTGAGCCAATACTGATGAATTGATAACTAATATTAGGACTGTCTTGTATTAGTTTTTTTTTTACCAATGGGGAAACCGATATAATACAGTATAATTAGACTTGATATCTTAATTTTGTTGTAAATTATTAGCATACTATAATAAACATAAATATTTCATAATATTCATAACTTGCTACAAAAATGTAATACAATTTCTACTAGGATTATATTCTGTTCTTCAAATTTTACATTAGATTGTTAATTCATTCAAATATCAAAAACAACAATAAAATGGATTCTTCTGAATGTTAAATTTGTTATAATATGCATCAGTAAGATAAATACACTTGGGTGGTTGTGATATCCTCTTAAAAGATAAATTGAGTACAAATTTTAATAATTTAGCTTTTTATTGAAAACCATTATAAAATGTATTCAATGAACACAATTTGTGAGATAAATTTGGCTATTTAAACTTTCTTAAAATCTTAATAAGCATGTGTTTTTATATCTTTATAATATTGATTAATTAAATAATTTTTTTTTTTTAGCGTATATGAGCTCACCTTGTCATATTGAAGTAATTCTTGCTGAAAAGCAGAAGTTTGTTGCTAAAGTTCCCAAGGATGAAGCTGAGAAGAAGAAAGTATCCAAAAAGAAATTAGCAAGACAAAAAGAAAAGTTGATGCATGAATAGTTTGGTTTAATGTATGACAAATATAAAACATAAAAAATATTTAATCTTTTTTTTTTTGTTAAAATTGGTATAAGACATTCCTTAACATTTTTAAATGATTTCCTAAGATCTTAAAACTAAAATTATGGAAAAATTCTTAAAATTAGGCATCTAATAAGTAGGTACCTGAGCCTCAAACCTCATGTTTGATAAGAATTTTAGCTTGGATTTGAACATAGTTTATAGTTTGAGCATGATCTAGTCAAAAATGTTCAAATATAATAGTAGCAGTCAAAATAAATGTTTTCTTAATTTAGGTATTCAACAGGTGTTTTAAAATTTAAAAAAAAAACCAAGTTTTAGAAAACAATTCAACCAATTCTTACTTAAAATATTAAATTTTTATTTCTTATAAATGAAATGATAAATATTCAGAAATAAAGTACTTGTAGAATAATACATTTATTACAACTTAAAAAATCAATTTGTGAATGCATATTGAGCACGTTTCTAATGTTATTGTTCTCAAAATTGGGTGTTATTTTAACACAGGCATTAGTGAGATTCAGCTTAGAAATGTGTAGGTATATGCAAAACTTGTTCGTTCATAGTTTAATTGTAGTGTATAACACAGAATTTAATTTGTTGCTGGATTCTTTTGGTATTGCTATTTTGTTAATTTAAAATTTTTATTATATGTTAAAATTTTGAATGTAGGTAACTTTAACAATATTACAGTTTGCGTATCACCTCAAAATGTGTAAACAGTACCTAGTTGATTTGATTAAAGTGTTCTTATTAGAAATTCAGAAATCCAAAGATTTTTTGTTGGTTTAAAATATTTAATTATCAAGTATCAACACATCCAAATGTTTGACATCATGTTTAATTACTACTGTAGCAACAAATATTTGTTGGCTAATTTTTTAACAGGTTTTTATTGGGTTTTTTCTCTAATAGCGGGCATTACTAAGTTAGCAAAAAATATTAATAATGCATATTTGTTGTTATGTATTAGTTTAACAAAAATGTAATAATTATTAAGACATTAATAACTGTTGTTTTGAAGGTATATGTTATCTATTAATAATTATTGTTATCGTGCTCAAGAAAACAATGATTTCAATTAGGTAACAAACACACTAATATAAAAAAGTAATTATTAATTTACTTTACATCTGGTTGGTAATTTAATTTATTTAAGACAATTGAATATGGTTAATGCTGGCCGTTGGGTAATGGTTTTTTATATTGTTAAATATTATAATAGTACTATTTGAATATATTAATTTAAATTTAATTATCAACTAATATTATGATAAATCAGTATAATAATAGTTTTTTTGATGCATATTTGGTATGTGTACTAATTACTCAATTTATAGAAGAAAAAAATGCTTCGATTTTCAGCTTCAATGTAAATCTTTGTGGTGGTGAGAGGGGGATGAAAAGACAAGTAAATACCAGGTATTTTTCTTCATAATAGGGAATAATTAGAATCTTTACGCATAGGTACCTAACTAATTTTAGTCTATTTTCTTATTTAGGTATAAATTATACTTTTCACCAAATGTTTAAAATTTAAATAAACATTTTCTATAGGTTACCATATTATAATTTTCGATTTTTAATGTAATCATTATCAATAATAATATTATGTTTGCTTAGTCAAAAAGCTTGAAAATGTAAAACATGGTTTGGAATAACTAATAAGTTTTTAAAATTAGATATTTAAACGAAGAATAACTATTTTAGTTACTTTATTGTAATTACAAATATTTTTCTTGGGAGTAAACTGACGTACATAATTATAATATTTTATAAAAATATACAGGGTGATTCAAAATGTATGTTCATTTTGAATCACTCCGTATACATTGATTTTTTTAAAATTTAAATAAATTGTATGCTAGTGCCTATATTTATACCACGATTCACACCGTGTTCTACGGTAAGTCAGTAGGCATTGACTCAAAAAGTCAAAAGTTAATAACAATAATATAAATAACTATAATATACGATATATCTTCGATACCTACCTATAAATATTTTATATCGGTCATCGGTGTCATCCCTATCTTGTGGCGACTGGCGAGTTCGATTCTGTAGTTGTTCAATAATAATAATAAATTATATAATATATATATTATATCATTATGCATAACATAATAAGTCATTGCATAAATCATTTTTTTTGGGGTCATCAAAAGCTATGTTTTTTCCATACTAGGTACTCAAGACCTGTATTAACCAATATTAACCCGAATAATAGCGGTTTTTAAAACCTTAATGATTGTTTAAACTTTTTATTCCGGTGTTTGAAAACCCGAATACATCCAGTACACGAAACCCGAATAAATGATTCGGGTGCTAAGCCTTGATTTTTACTGCTCTAACTGCAGGTGTAGAAAGACGAAAAATAAATTAAAAACCATAATCACAATACATCGCTCCGCTTAGAATCCAGAATAATAAATACAGAGATTACGCAATTTTTTTCTTCTTAATTTCAGCATTTCACAATGATGTTAAGCATCAATACTCAAGTCTCAAATACCATTTACGAGTTTGAAGTGACAACTGATCATAATATATGCAGATGCAGATACACCGTCGGTTGGTATTTAGTATTTACTATTGTATAGGGAAAGTAAATGTGTTTTATTTTAATCTATAAATAAAAGTTGTTAATAAATAATACTATTAAAGTTTATAAATTGGTTATAAATAAAAAATTGTATTGATATAATATTATAATATTATCCTAATTTATTTTATGCACAATGCAGCAATAATCAATACCACATAATAGGTAGGTACAATATGGCATATTATTATAATATTAAAATGTACCTTTATAACAATAAAATAGAATGATAATCATTCTGTATTCCTGTGTAGCTGGTATAATTGTATAGATATTATTTGTCATAACATTGTTTTGGCATAAAATTAATCTGAACTTAAATATAATTGAATAATTAAGATTTCATTATCAGAGCGTAGGTATTCTACGAAACATAATAATCAATTTATTTATGAGGGAATATTAATAATAACTTATTCTTGAGTCATAAGTTGGCTAAAATGCTATATACATTTATATAAGTAGATGGTAGGTATATATCAAACTTCATAATATTTTATACTTTGAATATAAATTAAAATAATACCTATATTTTTGTATTTCATATTATAAATATAAATATATACATATTATATTTCAAATATATTTGTCATGTTGTAAGATGCAGGCAGCAGGCTACACTAATCCTCGACAGCGACTATACAATTTATCAAATTTCGTATTCAATTAATCCGTTTGTATTCTATATTGCTGTGCAAAATTGTTCAATATAAAAATTAAGTTTTTACATTTTTAAAAGTCAAACACGTAGGTAGGTAAATATAATTAAAATATAATTGTCGTTTGTTTCTTTACTTTCTTAAATACATAACCATACCTTTCGAAAGAGGACCTAAAATACATCTGATTTCAGGGGACTCACTTATTCATTTAACTGTTACCTTTGGGATTTGACAGATTTCTAAAGCAAACAAAAACTTGTGGGAGTTAGCATACACTACACAGTATTGAGTATACAGTACTCACAACATACTGCCATGTGCGATGGCTGGACATTTTATTTTTAGGTTTTACCTACCGGGGAGTTTATTAGAAATAACCAGAAGGTATACCGGAGTATGGCTATAACACGATTCCGCAAACTTTGCGGAATCGTGTTGATTTTAATAGCCACTGATATATATACACGACTCCGCAAATTTAATATATATATACACGATTCCGCATAATTTTAAATGCAACGTTGCCATTCCGAAAACAAAATCTATATTAATGTAAGGGCCGAGCCACACTTGAGTGATTTTGGCGTGCGGTACGCATACGACGGTGGCACCCGGTACGCGCGTTAAAATGACGCGTGGTACGCGGGCGATACACACGCGTTTTCACAGCGCATCAAAATCGCTCTAGTGTACACGTATAATGAAATAACGATATTACAGTTGTTACTTGTTAAAATAAGTTTTTTTGGCCAAAGTTTCCGAAACATAACGAATTAAACGTATATGAGTTTGTTTCAGCTATATTATTATGCGATAAGATAACGTTCATGCCATCGTCGTTTATAAGATTAAGTATAAAGTATTATATATAAGATAAAGTATTAGATAAATGTCAATTATGTTACACAATATAAAGCTATAGCTACAGCCTACAAGTATTATATATAAAAATATTATATACAATTCTTTCCAATATTTTCCCAAATCCTAACATTTACAGGTGAAATCAATTTAGTCAATGGCATACTTCCAATTTGACAACATTAAATAATTTTTAAAAAAAAAAATGATCGGTTCGCGTATTGAGTAAATTACTTCCGAGCGAGGGAAAGAGTTAGCTTTAGTAAATTTATATAAACACAGATTTGTTGGTTATCGAAAAAAAGATGGTGCTCTGAAATGGAGGTGTACAACTAATAAAAAATTGTACGGCGATCATTTTTTCTACGCCTGAGAAGATACTTGTTTGTGACATCTCTGGCAGCCATAACCATGATGCAGATCCTCAACTAAAATTAGATAGGCAAGTTTTGAGATAAAACTGCAAACGAAAGGCAGAAGAATCTATTTCATGCAGGCCAGTAAAAATTATTAGAACAGAATTACTTAAAACACAATTGGCTATTAAATGTTCAGATATTACATCGGTAAGAAAGGCTATGTACGATAAACGCCGAAAAATAATGTCCACGCTACCCAAATCGCTAAACGAAGCTTTAGAACAGCTAAGAAATTTACAATTAGACAATAGCTTTATGTACAAAAACCAACAATTTATTCATGCTCCACCAAATGAACAATTTGTTTGTATAACAACGGCTAATAATATTTAAAATATTCAAAATCACTCAAGTGTGGCTCGGCCCTTACATTAATATAGATTTTGTTTTCGGAATGGCAACGTTGCATTTAAAATTATGCGGAATCGTGTA